CATCTTTCTCAAGAGGTCTAATTTCCCAGTTGGATCTCCAGTTTGCCACTCTGAAAACAATGTTGGGCTGACTAAGTCCATAAATGTGAAATCTCTGGAGTTCAAATACCTTTCATTCAACATTGCTTTCATGCTGTCAATAATTTCAAAATAAATTTGTTTATAATTATACTTTTTGTCTGATCTTGAAAATGGTTGACCAACAATGTTAGCAGCAGAATAAAAAAACCTTGGCCAAAGACTCGTCATTGTGCATCTCAACAAGGAAAGTGGTAAAATTATCAGTTTTCTGATTTCCATAGCTCAAAGTCACTATCTCTATTTTGCAAAACCGTAAAAAGTATAGAGGATTGCCCCAGTATTTCTATTAACACCTGAATCAGGAAACAAAATAAAAAGCTTGAAAGGTATTGCAGAAGTCAAGCCGCTTGAGAAAAGTGTTATCATCCCATCCTTGTGGATTGTCAAGAAGGTCTTCAAAAAAGTCAAGCAATGCTTCGTAATTTTCTGAGAATACATTTACGGTAAGTAAGCTGTAACACCACCTTGTTTCACTAGGAACAGGGATATCAAAACCATGTCCCCATAGCAAATATTTTCATTTGGAGCTTACCCTTGCAAAGCTGCTGGAAGCACCAACATTAGCAAAGATATTTTTACACTAGAAATGGAAGATGCAGACCGACAAATCACAAGCTTTAATCTATGAGCTGCACAATGGATAAAATAAGGATAGTTTTGGTTTTTGATGAAACCAAAAATGAAAAACGCCAAAATTACAACAGAACTAAACTAGGTAACTTTCCAATTAAAAACAATTATCTCAACTCAACATCTCAAAGTAAGATGGAAAACATCAAAGTAGGAAATTGTTTAGGAGGAGAAAGGTAGCACTTCTAGTAGGAGCATAGCTAAAATTGTGGGGATGGGTTGATACTTTGATAGTAAATAATACAGGACAAACACTGTAAGTAACTTTTTCATTGGAACATATGGTAGATCCAGTTCGTATATAACGCTGTATTCTCATCTGCATCCCGTCTGCCGACAAGTTTGATGACACCAACCTTTGTCTGCCAGTCCCAAAAACCCATTGCTCATCCCCCTGTTGTACTTCCTTTTTAGCAACACCGATTCATCAATTTCCACAACATGGTCCGCGCCACCAAGCATTCTGTTGATCATTGAAAATCAAAGAAGTTGGCAGATCAATCTTCTGGCAACATGTTGTACCAGTCAATAACTGTGTGCTCTGACTAAACTGTAACGCTGCTCCAGGTCCACATACTGGCGTCCATAGCCCAGAAATACATTATGAGAACTATCTTCTCCGGTGGCAAATCATTATGAGAACTATCTTCTCCAGTGGCAAATCATTATGAGAACTATCTATTCCATCACGGATCGTTCTTGTCTTCCCACACCTGCATTTCCACCTGGAAACATCCTGGCTATCAAGCCCTCAGCACCATTTGTCTCCTGCGGTTTCGCTCCCTGCACCCTATGCCTCTTTTTAGCAAGTTCTGCCGCTGCATCCACTCGATTGTCTGCCTAATATCTCATCAAATTTTGGTTAATTCCATGATGTCCATTTTGTCCCTCGAGTTTTGCCTCAAGGTCACAATTAAGAATTTCAATGCCGTCCTCAATATATACAGCTGCAGTGTATTTTTAGCTAATCAATCAGGACGTAAATAGCAGTATGGTGACATTTGTTGTGACCAAAATTTTGATGAGTGCCGGATAAAGATTTTGAATGTGTGGGAAAGCTGTTTCTTTCTATCTATCTTTCTATCTTTCTTTCTTTCTTTCTTTCTTTCTTTCTTTCTTTCTTTCTTCCTTTCTTTCTTTCTTTAATAGGGGTGTTTTGTTGGTTATGGGAAAATATACAGCTGCAATCTATTTTAAACTTTTTGTAGACAGACCAATAATAAACTTGTCCGTAGCTATGACATTACAACACATATGTTATGAAAGAAAATTAGATGAATGCCAAGAATAGATTTTTAAGATGTGTTGGAAAGCTATTTTTTCTCTTTTTAGGCAATCCTGGCTGTTTAATGGTTCTCTCTCAAAAAGTGTGGGCAACTTCGTAGTGAACAAAGTAAGCTTATAGGTATGGCCAGGATTTTCCATGAGTCGAGAGCGATGTTAAGAAATATTTGGATGGATTTCCAAACTCTTGCTAATTTTCTTATATTATGCGCCCTTTATATTGGCTTTAAATAAATTTTAGAAATATTTCTTGCAGTCATTTTCTTGCAATCTTTTTAAATCAGTTTACTCTTTTTATGGCATGCATTTAGTACGTTCTAGCGATTTCAACCTTAAAATGGAATTCATTACCCCCATATACCTCGGCTTGTTCCTTAGAAAGTAAGCGATGAAAGGACTTATCAACGAAAGGACAATCATTGTTGCTTTGGCCTCTAATTATGTTCTTATAATTTCTAAGCATATCAAATATCATGTCCCAGGGTGCTGACGTTTAGAAGTATTTTTACAGTAATACTACAGGGTAAACATTTTTGTTTTATTACCCTGTGGCAACAGAATCTTAATGGCTGTGAATGATTTGGCTCTAGACATGGCAGCATAGAATTGGCCATGTATGAAAACCGGTTGTAGAAGATAAACGCCAACATACCTTAACAGCTGTCACAGTGCTTTGTTGATGGTAAGGCAGTATGCCAACCTTACAGCAAATTGCAGTCTGGCAACGTCAAGGGTGGGTAGGGTGGTATCTTGAGAGGACATTGTGATTGGTGGAATCATGACATAGCATTCTCTATACTCGGTGGCAGTGACTTCCACCCAGTTCAGGTGGCGTTGCAAATCCTGGACGATTAGACAGGTTTAATTGCAGAGACCTTTCTTTAGGTTGAGGTTTTGCAGGAGAATGATTGATGCACCAAGCTTGATTTGTGAAAAGAAAAGAATATAAATGTGAGGAATTTCTGAAGTGTGTCTCATTTTTCTAAATAAAGTGGATATTCGACATGGCATGAATTAAAAAAAACATGGCAGGCAAATTATCAGTGATTACCCTGTCATATCTGAGTGGGTGTGTGCAGCCTATCCAAAATGAGTTGGTTGATTTCAGAAGAGGAGGAATCATTGGTCGGTGTTAGGCAACAGTGTTCTGCCATTGCTTTTGGATTGGCAATTACGTCTGGCTCTCCAGGTTGTGGATATAGAAATTGAACAATCTTGTCAAATGACTGCACCAACATGCGGTCAGGCAACATGATTTGATCCTCTTGATCCTGTGCTTCTTGTCCATTTCCAATTCGTAATTAGCCACTTTGAAAACTCATGGTATGTTTTGTCCTGGATGGCTCTCAGAGAGGTATTTCTTCATGCTGTTTGGCACAATTCGTTCTCTACCTGCTTTAAGAACGACTGGGAGAACCTGTTTAAAATCACCACCAAGAAACATGAATTTAACCCCGAATGGTCTATCAATTTGGGTAATGTCCAGAGAAAAATTATCTACTTCCTTTAAAGCGTTGACTCGAGAGCCAATCTGCAAACTCTCTGTACAGCTCATCATAAATGGCTCTCATGTTCATTACAAGTTGAAACTTGTGGAAATGGTTACAATGATGTGAATTCTTCAAGCTCTCTTGGACGATTATTTTTTACTGGGAGGTTTTGTCTAAAATCACCTCAAAGAAACATGTACTTACTTCCAAATGGTCTGCCAATCTGTGTGATGTTTCTAAGGAGAATATTGACTGCTTCAAAAGCATTTGCTGGGATCATTTAGCTGGGATATTCATCCAAGATAAATACAGCAGTTTGTAAAAGCTTGTTAGCCTTAACACTTTGACGCTTTATGTCATAGGTAAAATAAAATAACAACGGGATAGAAATTTGGAATGTAGAAAGTGCTGTGCTTCCATTGATAAGCATCGTACTTGCAATGCCTGAGTATGCAACACATTTAACAGTAATTCTTAATCCCTGGACGTTATGAACAACTGTATTTTACAGGAGATGAGAGATAATCTGATGTCAGCTGGAGTCTGGAAGGTGACGAGCATTGCAAAGAGCTGTCTCATCTGCAGTGGCATGTTGATGATCACAGCCTCTTTTAGGCAATGTATAAGCTCAGCATCATCATCTAATATGCCCAAGACTTTTGCTGTATTGTTGAATGTAACATGCAGTTCACCATCGACTGTTCTCAGGTCTTCAAAATATGTTACACCTCATTTATGGAGGAGAAGCAGTCACAAAGCACATCTCTCTGGATCAGATGGCTGAACTTGGTAAATTCGTCCAACAATCTTTGACACAAAACATACCCAGGAATCAGAAAATTAATTTAGTTTTTATATTTAGCTATTTATTCAGTGATGTATATCTTAAGCAAATGGGCAATAGTTTTGAAATGGAAGTTATAGTAATAAAGATTATAAGAATATATTTTGTTCCCTTGTTTTTGTTCCTTTGTTGAATGTACAGCTACCTTTGTCCAAGTACTGGTGTGTGTTTTTATCATGGTCATTCAACCGAATCAAGCAGCGAGTGTGGTATTCAGGTTTCTGTGTAGAACCTGTTGTTTACGTCCTTCCTGGAAGTAGACATTCTGCTGTAGAGGGAGATGTGCTGCAAGGCAAATAATGGTGTGACTTCTGTCATGAAATTTATACTGCATGATTCTGAACACTGCTGTGTGCCGTCCAACATATCTTGCATTAAGTTATTGGAGGATTTCATCATGATGGACAGTGTTCTCTCTGATATCAACGTCTGCACAGTTACTTCATTTGTGGATGTATTTGAAAATTTACTTCACACTTTTGATGCTTGTCAGATGTATTTCTTGAGTAGATTAGGGTTGAAAGGCACTATCCATGAGTCATTGGCGAGGTTGTGTTGTAGC